ACTACCCGCAATTATTCCACCGAAAGTTGGGAAGGTTTCGTTAAAGACAAAAACGGGCCCCTCTAAGAGATAATAGTCCAAGTTAGGTTAATAAAATATATATATAATAATAATATTTAATTAAAAGACAATAAAAGTATATATAAATACATAAACGTAAAAACAAATAAATAATATAATATAATAAGATATAAAATAAACAAAAAAATAAACAAAAAAATAATAATAAAAAAAATAAAAGGATAAACAAAAATAGAAATAAATAAATATATATATATATATAATAATGTATAGACAAAATAATAATAATAATAGGAAATAAAAAAATAAAATGAACAAATAAAAAACAATACAAATAATAAAATAATAATAAAAAGGACTAAATTGAAATTAAAGCTAATCGGGTGGCCAAATTAGAAGTAAATAAACGTGAAAATCAGATTTAGGGGGTAAATTAGAAGTTTTAAAACTATAGGGACCAAAAGTACGGTTTACCCCCTTTTAAACAGAAACACGCGGGTCGTATGTCATTGGGTCGGGTTGTGAGCCGGCTTACGGGTAATATATAACTTAAAAAAAAATTAAAAACCTCATTTGATTCATTTTGAAATCGAGACCCCCTTGTTCTTCGTTTCTCTCTGGTTTGTTCATCCCTTGGGATGAACACCGCCGCTTGTTTCCAGATTCCGACGACCTCTCCGCCTCCATCGGCGGCGAAACCCAAAAAAGATGACATTTTTAGATAGCTTTCATTTCCCTCTCTTTGAAATCCGAGTTATTTCCGTCAACAAAGGCCTCGGGAGGGCTAGATCTAAAGCAAAAGATCTCGAACCCCTCCCCGGGTCATCGGCCAAACACTCCTTTTTGGCTTTCTTTTGAACCGAAACGAAGGGAAAAATGAACCAACACCCACATGCACGCGAAGAAAGTAAATAAAGGTAAAGACTTTAACCTTTTTTATTGTTTTTTTGAAATGTTTACAAGGCTTGGGGTTTCCTCTGTAAAAATTTTTTGAGCGATTTTATGCGTTCCTCCAGTGTGTTCTCTTGTATGGTGGTGTGTTACATTTATAGCAAAAATAATATACTATTTTTAGTACAAATAGAGTCCTAATGAGACTAATCCGCTTGCTTTGGTTGTTTGATGTTGATATCTCATACTATGTCGGTCGATTCGGGGTTGTTAGAGGGACGTACGGCACGAGGGAACTTCGAACGTGGGAGTTGCAGCACGTCAAAAATGATTATCCGGAATGCTAGTCGCGGAGAGTAACACAGCTGTGGAAGCTAGAGATTACGGCGCTATTGAAGAAATTCGTCTTTACCATCAATTTTGGGGTCCAACGGTTGTTGTTGACAACGATCAGCGGTGACCAGTGACGACAACTGATGGCGACCAGCAACGGTGATGAGTGGTTGTCAATGACGTGAACTTTGACTAGATTCTCATGGGTTAAATTGATATTTTACATAAATATTAGGAGTTAAATTAGTATTTTATATAAAATTTAAGATCAAATTAATATTTAGGAGTTAAATTAGTATTTTATATAAAATTTAAGATCAAATTAATATTTTATCTAAAACTTAAAAGTTATCTTAAAAATTAATCATTTTCACTAATGTGTCACATCAATAAGAGAATGAGAGTTAATAATCTAGTGATGAGTACGATAAACTAAAAATAAAAGTGGCCAAAATACAAACCTTTTTAAATTCGATAATCAAAATCCAACCTACCAAAAACATAAGAGACGACATCCATTAACCTATTATTTATGCTTTGATCATATGGATTATTAAATTGTGTTTTACTATTCATTAAGAAAATGGAAAGTCCTTTTCACTAGAAGCTCAGCCGATAATATATTTTGTTGAATACGCTGTATTAATTGTAAAACATTATGATGAGATTTTACGGTAGTGTTTATTTTCAACTTGGATAAACACACATAAATTTTACAAATAATGTTTTTCAAATGTAAATCATCTAGAAATATATATTTGTTATAAAATAAAAAATAACGAAGCAATAAAAACAACAAGATAAATAATAATATTAGAATAAGTAGAGAAAATCGTATTATTATTTCAATTTGAATTGTATAGTGTTTTTTCTAATCTTTATATTTATAACTATAAGTAGTAGATGTAATGTACAATGCTTTCTCTAATCTCGATACCATTTAATCAGGGGTGGATGCACTTGGCCACTTAGGGGTTAATTGTATACCCATTATTTTGAATAAATTATTAAATATAGTTAAGTATACTAAGAAAATGAAAAAAATAAAAAAAATTGCATACTCATTTTGTTGAATAAAGAGTCTTTATTTCTTAAATTTCTAAATCTGTCATCTCATTTAATGGATTAAAAAAACTATAATATTTAAATACATATTCGAATCCATATAACTCATCAATAACTTTGTCTTTTGAGAAGCATTGTCACATTATTCTTTTGAAAAAATTTTATTTATATTCTTACGTAACAATTGTTTTGATATCACCTTTTCTTGGACTCAAGTCTTTTCATTTTGGGGGAAAGAAACCTAAACTATTCCATCGATCAGATATAGTACTCTTGTGGAATATATTCACCACCAACTCTTTAAACACAGTTTCTTCGAAGCTTCGTGCAAATCAATTCGTGGGCATTTTTGCAGCGTTTTAGAAGGCGGAATCCCCTCCACATGTTGTCACCCATGGCAATGGCATTTATGTTCCATCAAGTGTTGGCTGCCTATGCTAATTTTTTTTTCGTATACACATACTGCAGACATTACTACTCGAATCCAAAACCTCTAAAGAGAATATTATTTCCTTTTACTATTAAAGTTGCCTGCTGGGTTCGACTATGCTAAAAAGTTAATTTATATTCTTCAACTCTTCTTTCATTTATCATATGTAATTTTTCACATTAATTAAGGTTGATTTATCTCATGTGTATATCACTCTACACATGTGTTTTAGGTTTTCTTAACTGTATAAGGCTTGTTTTTCTATATTTGACTACTTGGACGGTGGCTGCCTCCTTTTTATTCTTTTTTATGGTTAACTTTCTCTCACACAGGAAAACATCGATCAATTATTGTATTCCGCTGAATGCGTCTCTCTATTCAAACTCGAAACGACGAATTGTTCACCGCCGACAAAATAAGAAGAAGAAAATAAAGACAGCCGTAATCCGGTTGTCTGAGAGAGGAAAACAGCCAAGGGGTATGGTATAGCCGAAATGGGAAGCATAGCACACGTGATTTAGATGCCTTTAAAAAGTCAATCCCATGCGATCAACCGTGTACGTGTTGGCTACAACGCCCTACAAACAAACCAAACAAAACTCTCCCAATCAGGTAATAATAATATACTAATGATAAATCATTGTTCCACTAGTTGGAAAAATCCTTCTTTGTTAACGAAACGAAATCGAAGCTCACAGAATGAGACACCATTTTTTAAAAATTAAGTAGATTAAAAAGTCATTAAATTATATCTAAATTATTATTATTAAGTAATTATTTATCAAAATTTTATACTTTTTATTATTCATTATAAATTTAGTAATTATTTATTATTTTTAAAAACTTATTGATCAAAATAATCATTTCATTATAGTTGAGTGACTTATGATATATTTTAATCTTAAAAAACATCATTTTCACCATATTAATTTTAGAATTATTCACTAACATTGTGTTTGTTTAATTAATGGGGTAAATAACATATTTAGTACCTAAACTTTTTTTCTTCAAGATTATACTTAATATTTTAGTTTAAATTTTAATTTGGTACACACAATTAAAAACTTAATGGTGATGTTAATGTATCACCATAACGTAATGTCTAGGGGTGCTCAAATTTTCGAACTAATTCGGTTAACCGACCGAACCGAATTAGTTCGGTTAATTCGGTCGGCCACCGAATTAGTTCGGTCGGTTAACGGTTAAGAAAATTTTTAGAATTTGGTTAACGGTTAATTCGGTTCGAAATCGGTTAATTAACCGAAATTAAATTTTAAATATATTATATATAACATATGGCCTTAGCTCAAACCATTTAAAACCCAATTAATAATTTAAGATCCAATAACTTTTAAACCTAAATCAATATTAATTAATTAAAAAATTGTATAAATTTTTTATTTTATAATTATATATTATTTAAATTAATTGTAAACTATTTTTTTGAATTAAAAAATATTAAATATATTATATATAACATATAGGCTCAACCCAAACCATTTAAAATCCAATTAATAATTTAAGATTCAATAACTTTTAAACTTAAATCAATATTAATTAATTTAAAAAATTATATAAATTTTTTTATTTTATAATTATATATTATTTAAATTAATTATAAACTTTTTTTTGAATTAAAAAATATTTAATTTTTATATAAATTAGAAAATTTTAAAAATTTTTGGTTAATTCAAAAATTAATCGAATTAACCGAAATTTATTCGGTTCGGTTAATATTTTTGAAAAAAAGTTCGATTCGGTTAACGGTTAAAGAAAAAAAAAGTTTGGTTAATGGTAATTCGATTCGGTCGACCACCGAATTAATCGAATGAACAGCCCTAATAATGTCACGTCATCATTAAAATAATAATAATAAATTTTCACATCAGTTAATCTGTTAATTTTTTAATAGCATATATCAAAATTGAAGTATAAACTAAAAAAATGAATTTTTTTACCAAAAAAAACAAATATAATAGTTCAGGTACTAAACTTGTAGCTTACCCTTAATTAATTTTTTTCGACTCTCTTTTCCCTTTTCTATAAATATCCAACTCCATGTTCATACATCTTCCGTTCATCTCTTAGTTTTCCATTCGTTTATTATTGTTGTCTTATACCTGAATGATTTGGCTTAATTCAGTTGACGATAATCATTTCTTTTGTACTCCGAAGAAGAGACTCTCCTTTCTGGGATTTTTGCCCATAAATTAGAAAAAGAAAACAAAATCTCTTAAAATTTCGTTTGGGGCTGAACTTGTTTGCTTCAGTACAGTGCTCAATTTGATTCGTTTTGGGTATTCGTCCTTCTTGTTTTCGATTGCTCCGAGGATGGTTTGCTTGGTTTCTCGCACGGGAAGGCACTTGCAGCGATATGATAATTTGGGCCGTCGCCAAGTTATCGGGTGAGTATTTTCATGATGATGACGGGAGCTGCTTGCTTCATCTTTTTTGAGAAAATTGTTCCCTTTTCCTCTGATTTTTCACTGTCCGTATTGCAAAAAAATATGTTCTTTTCTGGGTCAGATTTTATTTCTATAAACGAAAACTCATTGATATATTCAAATTTGAGGATTGTAGGTGCATTCCCTATAGGTACAAATCTAGCAGTGACGGAACCATTAGTAACGACTTGGAAGTTCTTGTGATCTCTTCCCAGAAGTGTCAAAAAATGATGTTTCCCAAGGTGCAAAAAATGAAAATTTCAATATTTTTTAACAAGTTTTGATGTTTCTCCATTATTAATCTGAGTTTCGATTATCAGGGTGGTTGGGAGCTTGATGAATCTAGAGAAGAAGCTGCATTAAGAGAGTCACTCGAAGAAGCTGGTGTTATAGGCATTGTTGAGGTCAGTCTTTAAATTAAACACTCAAAATCCCAACATTTTATTTTTCTTGAACTAAAAGAAAGTTCATCTTTGGAACAGTGTGAATTGGGTAAATGGGACTTCATAAGCAGAAGCCATGGCGCATTTTATGAAGGTTACATGTTCCCTTTGCTTGTGAAAGAAGAACTTGACTTCTGGCCCGAGCAAAACCTGAGACAGAGGACTTGGGTAAGCTTTTTATATAATCGAAAAGCCATAACAATAAAAGATCTTCGCTAAATGGCAAAATCACTGCAATAATGAACTAAAAAATCATATTTAATGATGTTATGAAATTATTTTCTCAAAAAGAGTGATTTATATAATGCATAATGAAATATGTATAGAGCATTTAATATTTTCATGAACATGTATGAAAGATTTGACGTCTTATTCTTTATATAGGAAGTTATGATAGTGCATGAGCAACAGACAACACAAAGGAGAATAACATAATACACCGACTCTTTCATATGTCTTCATGAAGATGTCAAGTGCTTTATACATCTTCCATATATTTTTAATTTCACCCTATTTAAGAGAATAATTTTGGTAGGAGAATTTCCCCCACATCATTATATGGGTGACTTTGCCCTATTAATTAGTTATTTTATGTTTTTTAGCACTTTGACCGTCAACGTTTCATTTATGGAGTAAAATGACCCAAGATTGGATGAAAATTATTATCTTACTAACAATAATGTTCTTTGCTGACGTTGCAAAACCTATGTGTTAATAGTGTTGATGTAATACATGCCACATGTATGAGAGATGAAGTGGTACATGTTACATATCTAAAGTGATAATGTTGTACATTCCATGTGTACAAGAGTGATAGTGTGGCATATGTATAAAGTGATGACGTGTTGACACATCACTTTGGCCACATAAGTCTCACCATGTCAACAAAATAATTAATTTTGTTTAAATAGATCAAAGTGATTATTTAATTAACAATTTTAGGGTATATTTCGACACTATGAGAATACAAAATGTTTTCCAAGTTTGGGTTCATTGATTTTTAGTATTTTTAATTTGTTATGATTTCGATGTTCTTTAGCTTGTGGCAGAAAGCTTTGGAAAGCTTATTGACATATGGTAGAAGTTAAGTACAGCTTTGTTTTGTTCTCGGAATCCAGTATATGGGTTGTGTTTAGGCGTAGGGTCTGTGTTTGTTTACGAGTATTTTCAATAGCTGTACTGTGTTCTCTATACCTTACCAGCACACTCTTTTTCTTTTATTTAAGTATAAGGAGGTTTTTTAACGAGGTCTGATGTACTTTGTAAACATCTCTAATACAAAGTACATTCTTTCAAAAAAAAAATAAACACAAATTCCCCAATTTGTGTACTGATTTAGTAGCAGCAAAGATTACTACTTTGTAAATAATCTTTTATGTTGGGAAAATAATTGTAAATTTTGGTACCAAAGAGGCAGATGGACTAAATGAATTTCAATAATTTTCAAGCATTTAATTTAAGGGACCACTTGGGGGCAGAACATTCTTGTAGCCATGTGAGGTCCAAATTGCTTTGCTTTTTATAAGTAGAAATCTCTTTCATTCCACAATTAGCTTAGTGGATCCTTATCTTTTAAATGACGTTTGATTTATAAATTATGTTACTTGTCAAATATAAATGTGTTTTAAAAAATTATTATTAAAATCTTTTATATTAGTAGAGTTGGTAAAGTCTTAAGGTTTTAAGTGTTTAAATATGTGGATTTAAATTTTATTATGTATAAATATTATATACGAATTTTCGATTTAAATTTATTGTAATTTAAATCTTATTATATATGTGTATTGTCTAGAGTTATTTTAATCTATATTTAAATGTATTACACTCATCAATTTGTCCTTGTGTGCATTATAGTGGTTAATTTTAATTATAGTTATATACAACTATTAGTTTTGCTTTTATATTGTATCGGTTAAATGTTATATTATAAAAATACGAATACAGTCATTGTAATTTTAACATAAAAAAGCACAAACTAACTTGACTTTAGTTAAAGGAATCGTTGTTGTTCCTGTCACAGATTAACTTTTTTCTAAAAAAGGAAAATGGGGATTTTCTGTAAGTGGTACCCTATAGTTTCTATACAATTCAAATTGGTCCCTGTAATTGGGTTTTGTTCATTTTGCCCCTAACCATTTCAGCCTTTTGCAGTTTAATCCAATTGAGGAAATAATAATAGCTGGTCGGCCCAAGCTAATTGCACAGGGCCCATCATATTCAAAATTGGACTTTTAACTTTGGTATTATTTCTAAATCATTTTATGCCCAATTCTATTTACTATGATTATTAGGCAAAAAAATGTTAGATGTCCTCTTACTTAAAATAAAAATAATCAATGTCGAATTCGAACTATTTTTAACTTAATATGACCCTAAAATTTAAAAAAACAATTAAATGTAATGTTTTGACAAATTATTTTCGTTGTTAACTGTGACGATGTTGACATGCCTCTTTATGGTGTTGACATTATGGGAGTAAAAGGGTTAGAATTAGGGATTTTAAGAATTTGTTTTTTTAATTATTATTATTTAAATAATATAATAATTTTAAGTTTTTTTAAATAAATTTAAAAAAATATATATAAACACGACATGTGTAAAATAATAGAATTTTTTAACGATAATAAAAAACCAAACATTTAAAATGATAATATTAATAACATTAAACACCTATAAGGCTACACTGATAAAAAAAAATAAAACATTTAAATAAAAAGTATAATTTAAATATTTTTATATTAAACCAAAATTGTATGATTACATGTGCTTAAGTTCATGGGTCGAAATAATATGACCGTGGTGTACGACCCCTACCATCTGACCCGTTAACAACCAAATAATTGTGAATTGCCTTCTTTCTTGCAAGATCGGGGCCAACATGCATGCTTAAGTGAACTCAAACACAGCTGTTTTAACGTATAACTTATAGAGAGAACAATATTATGTTTAATCACTAAAATCATCTTATATTATTCAAAAGAAAAAATCCGTAACAATAAAATTAGCATCTCTCGTATAATCATACAACCATATCATTCTTGAAGATATGAAAGGATATATTACGTTGGAGTTGGAGTTTGAATTCAAAGTCGCACGAATTAATTATGATAAACTATATGAATGATTACTTATATCTCATATTTGTAAATTTTTTACTCATCAAATTCAAGAAGTTAAGTTTTGGTCACGTTGAGTGCCTTTAGTTTGCTGACCTGACATGTAAGTATAAGTGTTTAATTTTTATTTTAATCCTTAAACTTTAGATAAAATATTAATATGAGTCTTTTTATAAACTCAAAGTAATTTAAGGATAAATTATCAATTTACCCCTTATTCTAGTCTTCTCTTCACCAACAAGTCTGTGTAGTTGCTGGTTTGCTCCATCTCAACGTTGCAACTTCTCATGATTTCCTTCAAGCTGTGTTGTTGGTGTTCAGTGCTGAGAAGGCCAAACTGATCTTCATCGTCAAACATTGATGGGTAGTCTTCATGAGTAGCTGGAAAAATGGAGGTAGAAGAATCCATCTCTGGCACCATAAAATTTTCAACTATGTTTTTTTTCATTAGCTTCATGTACGGTCAGAACGGTAGCCATTGAAGGATCCACATGAAAGCATATTTAAACAGAGAAATCAATGAGTAGATAATCCAGTAGGTAATGAGTTTCTTGTCGTCGGTGTTGGAATTAGTCTCGATTGCTTGAATGGAAGCTTGTATGTTAATTGGCAAAGAAACATCATTACCAATTTTCAGAAATAAAATAGGCAAAATTTTACATAAGTACACTTATCAATGAATTAAATCCAACGAGGGTTAAATAAGTTAAAGATATTTACAGAGGATAACCCAAAGCAAAGAGAGGTCTGCACACCAAAGAAAACTTCATTAAGAAAATCCATTATTTTAGTACATAAATGAAAAATTTTCAAAAAGAAATTCCATAAAGAAATACCAAGCAAGAGAATCAAAGCATATCAATGCAAACTTGACAAGATCCTGGAAACCCATTACATGGATTCAAACCTCATCATACCTTCACATGCCATCGACACCCTAAGAACAGCCAAAGCCCGTTTTGCTGCAACAAAAAATGCATGGACATCAAGGTGGACAAAATCAACTGTGGATTCACGGTGCCAGGGGCCCAGAGATAGATTCTTCGACCTCCATTTTTCCAGCTGCTCATGAAGACTACCCATCAATGGTTGACAATGAGGATCAGTTTGGCCTTCTCAGCACTGAACACCAACAACACAACTCGGATGAAATCATGAGCAGTTGCAAAGTCGAGATGGAGCAAACCAGTAACATTCAGGATTTTAACATAGACGATGGTGAAAAAGAAGACCAAGAGTAAGGGGTAAATTGATAATTTGTCCCTAAATTACTTTGACTTTACAAAAAGACTCATACTAATATTTTATATAAAGTTTAAGGGTACTAATGTGTCATGTTATAAAACTAAATGCACTTAACGTCTGTGTGACCAAAACTTTATAAAATGATGACATAAGTGATCAAAACTTTATTTTTTTTAGTTTTAGTGAGCAAAAGTTTACAAATGTAAAAGGTAAGTGATCATTCCTATAGTTTACCCAATTAATTAATATATAAATTTGGGAAAGTAAGGAGCTAATTTGATTAGAAGTAGAAAACTTAATTTGAGTAGATCTCTACTTTATAAGTTCCTTTGTATTATAAATAGATACTAAGTATTAGGGGTTAGAGACTATGTTGTGCATTAGGACTCCTATTATAACAAATTTTGGTGTCCTCTTGCAACAAATTTTCTCCTTTCTGTCTGTGGCTTTCCCCAAAAGGGTTTTTTTCACGAAAAATTTTAGTATTTATTTTATTGGGCTATCATTATGTATGTTGTTGTTTTCTAACAAATTGATAACAGACCATTCAACTTGTTTGACTCGATCACGATAATGACATATTTGTAGTATGAAATTCATTTGTTGGATCGTAACACCAGATTAATGTTGTGGAAGGTAGAGGTGTGAAAATTTGTAAGAGTTATCTTAATCTGATGAAAAGACCGAAAAATAATGCCAAGTTTTATATTTTGTAGGGTACAATAATTAACATTATACTTTCAAATTTGATGTGTTTCGGTGTATTGTATTAATAGTGTGATTCGATGTGTCGTACTAATATGTGTAACACCGTAGAATTTTTCATTTTAGAAACATCTTTGCTTGGGTTGATGTAGTAAAAAATAAATGATGTCCTCTAAGATTAACATCAATTGTACTTTCAAATTTGTATGTTTGAATAAAAAAAATTAAAACTTGAAAATAACATGCTTTTCGGGAAAAAAGTTTTGAAGATAAAATTTGTGAGTGTCGATAAAACTTTGAAAGAAAATAATATATTTTATTGTGTTACAATATAAATGTGTTAATATGATATGATTTGTTATTGTTGTGTTTTTAAAAGGTGATTTTTTAAGATAATT